AGAGAGAGAGAGAGAGAGAGAGAGAGAGAGAGAGAGAGAGAGAGAGAGAGAGAGAGAGAGAGAGAAACCGTTAGGATTACTTGGGCCATACTTAAGCTCGGACTCTCATGGAATGTATCGGATCGTGAAATACGTTAAATTTAGTCAGAAAAAAATGCCAATTGCAAGGAATATGGGCGAGAGCGATAGACAGAAGTCCAGATTGCAATATCACGAAGTAGCCCAGATAGTCATGTACCAAGCAGAGAGCACAATGCACCTGCACCAAAAAGATACCATCCAAATACTAAGAGCAATACAATGAACTCATATATGTCAATGTCGACGCTCTTGCTCTCACCACCAACACAGTATCCAACGTCGCTCCTACTGTCTGGTGCCCAGCGCCCAGCCTGCAGTACTCATCCTATCTAATATGTACTGGATCGCAATGTCTGTCTACGTTCATGCAACTGGATCACATCGAAGATCGAATTCGAAGACCAATGTACGTGACGCCGTCGTCATCACCAATGCAGACCCGACCACATACACCTGACCAGGTACGTTCTCTCTCCTCTCACATCACCCCTTGACTTCCCCCAGTGTGCATCCCCGACACCCAAGGACCACCATCACCATCACCATCACCATCACCAGCCTCCGGTGAGCAAGCCGGGCTATGGCTTCTCAGCGCCCGCTGGACTAGCAGCGCCCAACACCACAATGCGCCCGTGTGCGCCTCTTCGTGCCCTTGGCCTACCAGAGAGCGGCCTCCAGCGCTCAACAAACCAGCAGCGCTGCCGCCAGCAAGCACACGCCCAGAATCCTCTGGCTTCCGTCCTCACTTTCCTCTATGGAAAGTGAGCTCTGCTTTGTCCAAGCTTGCTCCAAAGACAGTGTTTTACCTTTGTTTATCCCTATCCCTATCCCTATCACTATCACACTTTGTTTATCACTCTCACTCTCACTCTCACTCTCACTCACTATCACACTTTGTTTATCACTCTCACTCACTATCACACTTTGTNGTTTATCACTCTCACTCACTATCACACTTTGTTTATCACTCTCACTCACTATCACACTTTGTTTATCACTCTCACTCTCACTCTCACTCTCACTCTCACTCTCACTCTTACTCTCACTCTCACTCTCACTCTTACTCTCACTCTCACTCTCACTCTCACTCACACTTTGTTTATCACTCTCACTCTCACTCTCATTCTCACTCTCACTCACTCACTATCACAGTTTGTTTATCACTATCACTATTCTTCAGCCCAGTCAGCGTAGCCGTTTGGACGAAAAATGCAATTTTTTATTACCGCAGTAACCGGCAGTGAGGAGACACATGGACTGGTGGGGAGACACATGGACTGGTGGCTGCGTCGACAGGCCTGTGTGTTCTGGGGGGATGGCCATAGGAAGCATACACATTGCCCTTTCTCCATACACATTGCCCTTTCGCCCGCTTTGTTCGTTTCACATCTTCCTTTTCCTCTGGTTTCTTCACTTCCCATTCTTCCGTCCTTCCTCCTCCCCCCTTGGTTCTTCACGTTTCTTCCTCCTTTCCTCTTTCTTCTTCTCTCAGAAAGGTGGCTCTTTCGTCCTCTCTTCCTTCTTCTCTCACCATCCACCTCTTTTCCTCTTTCCTTTCTTCTTCCTTCCTTTGCTGTCTCCTTCCCTGATCTCCTCTCTCTTCCTGTCCCATGCCTTCCCCCCCTCCCCTGTCCATCGTATTTTCTCATCGTCCCTTTTCCTTTCTCCCTTCCTTTCTCGCCATCGCTTTCTTCCTCCCTTAGTTCTCCTTTCCTCCTCCTCCTCCTCCTCCTCCCCCTTTCTTTTAAATCCTCCTTCTGCTACTCTTCCTTCTTTTTTGCCTCCTCCTCCTCCTTACTTTTCTTTAAAATCCTCCTCCTCCTCCTCCTCCTCCCTTTCTTCCTTCCTTTCTCGTTATCGCTTTCTTCCTCCCTTATTTCTCCTTTCCTCCTCCTCCTCCTTTTAAATCCTCCTCCTCCTCCTTCCTTTTCTTTTAAATCCTCCTCCTCCTCCTCCTCCTCCTCCTCCTTGCTTCCTTCCGTCTTGCGTCCTCCCTCATCTCTACTTTTCTTCTCCTGCTTCCTTCGTTCGTCCTTCCTTATCATTCTCCTTCCTCCTCTACCCTGCACAGCTTTTTCTTACACACTTGCGCTATCCGCTAAACTCTTTCCAGCCTCACCCCTCTTGAGCCGATCCTCATCGCCGTCTCGTTTGTATGCCTGGGGGAGATCCATCCACTGATTCATGACCCCTGCATGTGAACCTGTCTTACGTGTATGACTAGGTTCATGCTTGCCAAGCACAAACGTAGCGCCTGGGGCAGATCCAGCATCCACTGACTAATTCATGTTTTCTGTGCATGCATGACCTGTCAGTTAGCAATTGGCCTTTTAAATGGAGGCCTTTTAAATGGAGGGGCACCACCGTAACTTGCCAGGCTGTGGATGTATCTGGCCCCATTTAAAGTCAGGTTCCAATCTGAGCGGATCCGGGGGGGCAAGTACGTGTAGCGTCTTCCCCTGAGCAGCTACAACCACCCTCTTCCCTTGGACATAATTCATCCGGATTATGAATGTATACAAGCTATCTTTCTGGAACGATACACTCCTGATGAGGGTGCGTTGTGTTCCCTCGAACCGAATTCATCCTGATCGTGAATGTATACAAGCTATCTTTCTGGAATGATATAGTCGTGATGAGGGTGCGTTGTGTTCGGAGGTCTATGGTACCTGGACTGCCCCGGAGGTCACCCTGTGCAAAGACTTTTTTTTTTTTTTTCCCTGGATTTTTCCAATAATTTTGGAGGAATCAACGGAAAAAGGATGTGGTATCCAATCCAGCGGCCTAGCTCATTTGGTACGGCCACCAAGTGGCATTCAGGAGGTCTTGGGTTCAATCCCCATTGCCCTCATGTATACCTTCCTGTCCTGGGCAAGCTTGGCACCCGCCACCTAGAGAGAGGCCATTCCCCCCCCCTCTCCTCCCCCACCCCCTGAGCAGCATTGAACAGAGACTGCTGATGTTGGTAGGAGGAGGGGACCGGAGGGGAGGCACAGCGACTGGGCCCATGGAAGAAGCTCGGTGATGATGCTACCGGCTGACCCCTGGCTGGTATCGCCCACCTGCGGGTTGGGTGCAGCCCCTGCCTGGTCACTCGTTGGAGGCCTTGAGCCCGGGTAGCCCGGGCTGGCTGCTATGGGGTTCCCTGTTTATTACGATAATGATAATAAAAAGACCTGAGACTGAGAGGCATCATGTCCAGATTTGACAGGTAATCTATGTTACCGGGCCGTACGTCGGGGACCACCCCCCTGATCGTCTGGGGATTGTCCGGTCGGACGTCCTCCGGGGCAGTCTGTCCGAGCCCGAGCGGGAAAAAAAAAAAAAAAAAAAAAAAAA